GCTCATTTGGACAGTGAACAGCCCTAAGCTTGGTGTCAACAGAATAAGGGTGGGGGCAAGGTGGGCAAAGCATACCAGGGGTCCAAAACATCAAGGTGGCAACCAGGACATCAAAGCCCCACCCCTTTTTATGCGACACCCTCAACAAACATCCCCACTGAACTGCCTTTCATGTTGCATTTTCCTTCCTTACCCTACGGGAGATCTTGATTTTCTTGGTGCATCCGAAGAACAGATCTTCAAGGGACAGGTAGAGGTCCCGCTCTATGGGTGGGTCCTGCTTCTTCACCCCACGGCCACGGAGGCCCCCAAAAGCCAAGTTTACTTCACCCCCTTCTGCAGTGTAGAATTCTAAGGCAGTGAGAGGAGAGGTTGGCACCTGTTACCTTCCACCAGCCCAGTGTTTCTCAAACTTGGCCTCTTTAAGATATGTGGACTTCTACTCCCAGAATTCCCCAGCCAGCCATGCTGGCTGGGGAATTCTGGGAGTTGAAGTCCACACATCTTAAAGTGGCCAAGTTTGAAAGACAATGCACTAGCCTTACTAAATAAGAAACACAGCACAGTACATTCTCTCCATGCTGTTCCCTTTGAGCACAAACACACACACACATTACAAGCTGTTTGCAAGTTGCCCTCCTGCCTGTCACTGTGTCTTCTGGCCTTCACTTGGAAATAATTCTGGACCAGAAATCACCCAAGAGTAGAAAACACTCAAGAGAAGGACACCATTTTATCCAAGTTGGGTGTTTGAACCTACCGGAAAAGGGGTTGTCTCCTCCAAAGAAGTCCTGGAAGACTTTCTCGGGGTTTCCATGGAAGACATAGCCTTCTGTCCAGGGGGTGTCGATCCCAAATTCCAAGGGAATTCCTCCCTTCAGGCCTTCTTCTGCAAACTTATCGTATACTCCTTTCTTCATGGCTAAGGATCAAAGAGGCAATATGTCACTGGTCATAAAGGAGGATGGAAAGGTAATAGGTGGGCCCGATAGACCTTGCAGAAGGGAGAGGAGAAAGGTTGCCAAGTTCTTTTCTCACATATACACAAACTCTCCTGATTTCTTTCTGTTGTGTTCTTCCTCAGTTTCCTCTTTCCCTTCCCCTTCTTCCTCCTCCCACAGAAAGGAACCTGTGTCCATCTAAATCAGTTTTTTTCAAACTTGGCAACTTTAAGAGTTGAAGCCTTCAACTCCCAGAATTCCCTAGACCCTGGGGTTGCATGGCCCCAACTCTGTTGGGGTTTTGCAAAGCTGTGAAAAAAACATGCCAAGAGATAGGTTGCAGGGATTTACTCCCCGATATATTTTTAATATTATTTTATGGTTTGCTTTTATTGTACGCCACCCAGTGTCACGTTTTGTGAAATGGGTGGTTATATAAATATGAAATAAATAATAAATAAGTTTATTTCTGATTGTGATAAATCATTTTTTTAGTTAGTTAGCCCTCACACAAAGTGTGGTTATTCATTGTCATCTGTTGCTTGTATTATATTACTAGTATGGTGGTTTGGTATAAAACTGAATAGCGAGAAACTCAAACAGGCTTTAAGTTTCTGTTATCATACCCCACATCAGTGTTTTTCAACCTTGGCAACTTTAAGACGTGTGGACTTCAATTCCCAGAATCCCCCAGCCTTGGGGAATTCTGGGAGTTGAAGTCCACACGTCTTAAAGTTGCTAAAGTTGAAAAACACTGCCCTACATCCTAACATTTGAGCTTCCAAGAGTTACTTTGGGGAGTGAGGTGGTACACAAATAAAGAGATAGATCAACACTGAGGTGCCCACAAGGTGTGGTCAAACAAGTCAAGATGGTGAGATCCAAGCTCCGAATGGGCAGAGATTTGATCACCCCATCACAGCTGCCCTCTTGACTTGCTTGACCACAGCCTGCGGACACCCTTGGTAGACTGATAGATATTACGCAGTTTGGACATCTGTGAACACAGCAACTGTGGTCTGTCGATCTAAGGTTGGAATCTGGCATGTTGTCTGAACCCAGCCACTGGCGTCCTCCCGGGGAAGCGCGGAGAAGAGGAAGACCCATGCATTTGCAGAGAAGCGGATCTTCCGCGCTGCATCTCCGTGGGGGTCCAGCGGGACGCTGCTTTTCCTTTACTTACGGTCGCTCAGGACATCGTAGGCTTCGGCCAGCTGCTTGAATTTTTGGGGAGCCCAGGGCTCCTTGTTCTTGTACGGGTGGTACTTCAGAGCCAGCTTCCGATATCTGCAAAACATGCCCAGAGAAGCTGCAAACTTTGTTTTGAGGCACCCCGACGGGTCTTTTTCCTCCCAAACGCCCACCCCGAGGTTGGGTTCACACAACCAGCTTCCCTGGGTTCGTTAGGCTGAGTCAGGGCGTCGCCTCCATTAATGCTGCTTGCATCTTTGCAAGCTCTGGGGTGGTTGATGGTGCAACACCTTGTGCCACCCACCACAGCAGTGTTTCTCAACCTCGGCGACTGTAAGACGTGTGGACTTCAACTCCCAGAATTCCTCAGCCAG